CCTGTGTGCTTGACCAGACAGCCACTGCATTACTTTTGACACAGAGAGTGCCTCCTCATCCTCAGGATCTCCATCTAGGGAAGTAAACATACTTTATGTATTTAAAGTATCTAAAAATAGAGGGGGTCGTCTTATAATCAGGGTCGTCTTATATTCGGCCCAATACGGTAGATCATAATGATATAGTACAAACCTGCATCTTATTTTAGCTTGAGATCTGTTTCCTCTCACCTTCTGCACACTTGAGATCTACCTGAAAATAAATTACACTGATTTGAGAAATAAACAATTAGCATTTACTAAAGCAAATGTTTTTTGTGCTTTAACGCAGCAAATGCATGAGATCTTTTATGATAAATGAGAATGATGACCGTGATCATAATGAACAGTAAGAGAAGCAAACCACACCAGAGTTAATTAACATGAGTAGAGAAGGTCAAATAGACATCTGAAAGCACGGAAGCTGATAAAAGATTGCTGGAGAACATTGTTACTGCTTTAACAACAGCAGAAAATCAAGAGGAGAAGTAAGAACTCACCTGTCCTGCATCATGCACCCAGAAACACTGAAACCTCTGTTTAAATGTGTTGAATAGCTCTGATAGTGACGGGGTAAAGTCGTGCAGAGTCTGCTCTGTGTGGATACAGATTACAGTGAAGGACTGTCAGGAACACATGTTATATAATACTCTATTGAGTCTGCATGTTGATACCGGACTGCCTCAGATCTCTTGTGTCTCATCCGCTGGATGTAGCTGTTCATTTCCAGCTGTTCTGCTGCATGACACTGTGTTATTCTGCATTGCTCTGGAGTTCTTCAACAGCTCTCTTACTGCTCCGTTCATCTTTCTTCAGTCTGTCTCTCTCTCTCCTGGTCTTAGGTTTGTTTTCTTTATTCTTCATCTCTCTGTCTCCAGTGTGTCAACTGCAGCATCAGCTCCACTGAAAGATAAATGATGCAGAGCTCTGCTCCTTTCTGCCTCTGCTATGGTTTTCTCTTCGGTCTCCTTTCACGAGAAAAGCTTGTAGACCAGAAGTGAAAAACTCTATCATTAATCCATCAGCTTTTAATGGAAGTGTTGAAGAATCCAGGCGTCTCAACTACAGACACAGGTCTCTTTTTGTTTATCCTCTCTTCTTCTTTGCTCTTCATCTCTCTGTCTTGCTGCTCCAAGTCTTTCTCGTTCAGATCTAACAGCTTTCATCTCTGCTCTGACTCTCTCCTCTGTCTCTTTCATCACTCTCTTAATCTCATCTTGTATTTGTTTCTCCTCATGTTGTTTTCTCTGCTCTTCCTCTCTCAGTATCTGCTCTTCTTCCTCTCGTCTGAATCTCTGAGCATCTTCAAACATCTGGTTACTGTAGTGTCCTCCTCCATTCTGCTCTATCATTGAGTCAATCTTCTGCAGGAGATCATTCACCTGCTCTCTGTTATTCTGAGCTTTATTGTTGAAGACGTGATATCTGCCTCCACACTGCTGAACTAGATCTCTTAATCTACAGTTCTTCTCAATGAGTTTCTCTACTGACTCTCCTTCCAGCAGATCTCCATGAGTGAAGAGAATGAAGGAGTATTTTAACACTTCTTCACCAAACATCATCTCAATGATCTGAGGAATCTGCTGCTCATGTTCAGTGAATCTCATATTCACAGGAAACACAATGAGAAAAGCGTGTGGTCCAGGACTGGATAAATACACACTTCTGGCTATCTCTGTCATTAACTCTTCAGGTTTCATCTGTGTGTCAAAGAATGGAGGAGTATCAACTACAGACACAGATCTGCCTGAAACAGTGGTGTGAGCTTCTGAACATTCACGGGTTACTGAACTCGTACTCATCACAGAGTTAAACTCTCTCTGTCCCAGGATTGTGTTTCCAGCTGCACTCTTCCCAACACCACTGTTACCCAGAAGAACAAGCCGTCTGGATGAGAGACTGGAGACAGGAGCGTGAGGTATTTTCCTCGTTTGTGGATTCTGCTTCAATGTCTCTAGGACAGCTCCTTCATAACAAAGAAAAAATACACTCATGGTAAATAATTCTGATTAAAAAGTGTCCAGAATAATTAATATTGGTATAAAAGACTCACCCAAACTGTTCATGTGTGGCTTAAATATTTTTATAACAAGCTCTTGAACTTGTCCAGTATGTCCTCTGTTCTTGTTGTTGAACACATGGTATCTCTGATCATATTTCTGAACGAGGTTCTTCAGTGGCTCAGACAGATTAATATATTCTTCTATAGTCATGTTTTCTTCCTCCAGTTCGTCTCCTCTGGTGAAGAGAATCCAGGTTTTCTTCAGGCGCTCTTCTCCCAGCAGCTCCTCGATCTTCTCCACAGTTTTCCTCTCTTTTCCAGTGAATCTGTCAGCTTTGATGACCAGCAGAAACACACAGGGATCAGATTCACATCTCTGGAGGGTCTTTATAAGTTTATGCTGAATCTCACGATCACTCAGCTCTGTGTTAAACAGTCCTGGTGTGTCATAAACAGTGACCCATCGTCCACAGACCCTCCCAGATTCCACAGCTACGTCTCGTGTGACTGAAGTAGAGCTTTTCTTTGATTTGAAAGCTTCTTTTCCCAGGATTGTGTTTCCTGAAGCACTTTTCCCAATTCCTGTTCTTCCCAGTAACACCACATTCAAACCTCTGATCATTTCTGCCATTATCGATAGGTGGCCTAAAAACCGCTGCAAGACAAACATGTACACACACAATTGTGTTAGTCAGCAGATGAATCGTACTGCATACCTGTTAATCAGCTGTCAATATCTGCAGTGTGGAATGAGGAAAAAATAATAATCTTGACAAGTGTACATAATGGATGCTCATGTGACTAAATTCTGACCACAGCGTTATTCATCTGCTCCCGCCAGTCCAGTAAACCATTACTGGGTTCAGGGCTGCCCCCCTAATAATCCACTAACCATTAGCTGACAAGAGACTTAGGTGACCAGAACTGCATTAGTTGATTAGTCACAGATTTATCCATAAAACACTCCACATGATGTGTCTGAATCACAGTCAGTGACTGACAAACTGTTAACCGCACGTCTTCCTTTATTCATCTACAGATAAGAGTAATACACTCACAGCAAACAGGATCAGGATGCGCTTTCTGCCATCGTGTCTCTGTAAAGTGGAGTGTCATGTCCACTGATAAGCGTCTTTGTGAATTTGAGTCATCCTTAAATCAAAACCAGTTTGTAGAGTAACTGCTTTTCTTTCGACGCTTACACACTATGTTCTGAAGGACCTGGAGTGTCTGGTTGCTCTGGCTAAGCTGTAGTGTTTGTTGAGAACAATACTGTAACTGTATGTGTCCAGCACACTGAAATCAGCTGTGTATCCTCGCTCTCTTATTCTCTCTGACGGACGTTGATTGACACCAGTGACTGACAAACTGTTAACCGCACGTCTTCCTTTATTCATCTACAGATAAGAGTAATACACTCACAGCAAACAGGATCAGGATGCGCTTTCTGCCATCGTGTCTCTGTAAAGTGGAGTGTCATGTCCACTGATAAGCGTCTTTGTGAATTTGAGTCATCCTTAAATCAAAACCAGTTTGTAGAGTAACTGCTTTTCTTTCGACGCTTACACACTATGTTCTGAAGGACCTGGAGTGTCTGGTTGCTCTGGCTAAGCTGTAGTGTTTGTTGAGAACAATACTGTAACTGTATGTGTCCAGCACACTGAAATCAGCAGTGTATCCTCGCTCTCTTATTCTCTCTGACGGTGATTGACACACACCCGTCTCCTGTCACGCAAAAAACGCAATGCAGTCAGTTTGCCAAATCGGTTTCGCCAATAATATATCATTATAGTAGCAACTTGCTTTCGTTTCAGGGTGATTAAATCTGACTATCGTGCATTTCACCCGTGTTTCAATTCTTAAACACAAATGATTTGTGCTCAAACATTAATTGGATCCGCGGTTGAAGGTCTTGATATAAACCAAAACTGATATTCTGGAAGTCGAGGGCCACTGGACACACAAACTGGATCTGAGCAACTGTGAACAGTGTGGCCGAACAACAACTTTAGATCAATTCCAATCGCATATATATAATCGGATTTGCACTGACAATGTGAACGTAGCTTTCATGCTCGTGTAACGATATATATTCAATATCGTGACTTTACCCTTATTCACACGAGTCAAAATAAGAGCTGGTGGAAAAACATTATTTTAAACTTACCTTACAGGAAAATATCGTTTGAGGTAATGTTTGAATATTTCATCTTAGAACTGTTTCGATGCAAGGCCTAGCATCGGAAGCACAAACGTTCAGGAAAACAGTCTTCTTCTTCTGATCTGATCTGCGAGGCAACCAACTCACAGATGCACTACCGCCACCTACCTGCTGGAGATCGCGAGAAGAAAACAGAAGAAACGAACTAAACTCCCTCTATTAGAATCCGTGTATCATTCGATCATTCATTTTTTGATTTAATATTGAAAGTAGAAAAATGAGAAAACGGCTCCTTTTTCGTTTTTTCGTTTTTTTCCAAAAAACGAGAAACGAGAATTCAGCTTAAATTTTCGTTTTTCGTTCATGGGTGGAAAAATGAATAAACAGCTTGAATATTTGATTTCTACATGTGGGCGGGAATTAAATGCCCCTTTCTGCTGATTGGTCAGCCGAAGATCAAACCGTGCCGTCATCAGTTCTTCTGCAGTATCACGCAGCAGAATAATAGTCCTCCACTGCTGCAGTTGTACGGATTCTTAACGCATTTATTGCAACTACATTTCATCTTTTTTCATCAAACAAACAGACTATGAATCGCTCGACACAACTCATTTTTGTGTGGGCAGAGTCTAGACAGGGCTTTCTTCTGTGTAGATATAAATTCTATTCTTTGCATCAGCTGGGCATGGCAGGGTATGATATGACAGCTGTCATAGCCTACCCTACTCACCCAGTAAGTCTGTTTGTTTAATTAAGAAATAAATTAAAGCATGCCACAAACATGAACCACAGGGAATACTCGTCTTTTAAAAGGCTTCATTTAGATTATTTTACATTAAATGCATCATATAAGTCATTTTGGAATTAATCACAGTAGGCCTATGTATCATGATAAAAAAAAAACAGACTTTACAGTCTGGAAATACTTCAGGCTATAGCAAATTATTTCTCGGACCCCCTGTCACTTTAAGAACCGCTGGTCTACACAGAAGAAAGACCTGTCTAGACTCTGCCCCGGTACGAGTTGTGTCGAGCTATTCATTAGTCTGTTTGATGAGAAAAATATGAAATTGATAAAATGGGTTATTAATCCGTACAACTGCAGCAGTGGAGGACTATTATTCTGCTGCAATACTGCAGAAGAACTGTTGACAGCACGGTTTGATCTTCGGCTGACCAATCAGCAGAAAGGGGCGTTTAATTCCCGCCCACATGTAGAAATCGAATATTCAAGCTGTTTATT